GTCCAGCAAGCAGGTAGTTAGTCATTGCAGGCCTGGGCCTTTTACTGGTGTCTCCAAAATTATTAGCTCCATCCATACATTCATCTTCCATTCTTCCATTCATTCTCACACATCATATTAAATCCACATTTATAACATCTGCACATTAAATTTTGTGACAGCTCTGTGTGTTGCTCCTTCTCCCAGGAAGGCCAACAGTCAGTTTGTATTTTCTCTTTCCAAAAGAGGATTAAAAATGGGGGATGTTTGCACAGTTCATCTGGTTTTTAATCTGCATCCCAGCTGGTGACTCTTGCAGTCTTTGGGTTCCTGCTTTCCTACTTAGAGCAGAGCTGAAAGCTCCAAGTGGGATCGAATCTCCTCTGTTTTATATCCTGTGTGCTGTGTGGCACATCCCGTCCCAATTAATTCAAGGTTTTATAATGTAACAAGGTCATCTTTTCTTTCTGTTGTCTCTTTGTTCCCCAGAGAGTGTTGTCTTTGGAACAGATATTTGTCAGGATGGAATAAACATCAGGATATCCCTATCTACCTAAAGCAGGTGGAACAGGTTCCCTACCTTAATCATAGAACCATAGAATCATAGAGTTGGAAGAGACCTCTTGGGCCATCCAGCCCAATCCCCTGCTAAGAAGCAGGTCAATTGTGTTCAAAGCACTCCCAACAGATGGCCATCCAGCCTCTGTTTAAAAGCCTGCATAGAAGGAGCCTCCACCATACTTTGGGGTGGAGAGTTCCACTGCTGTACAGCTCTCACAGTTAGGAAGTTCTTCCTAATGTCCAGGTGGAATCTTTCCTGTAATTTGAAGCCATTACTTTGCGTCCTAGTCTCCAGGGTAGCAGAAAGGAAGCTTGCTCCCTCCTCCCTATGACTTCTCCTCACATATTTATACATGACTGTCATGTCTCCTAGGAGCCCCCAGTGACACAGTGGGTTAAACCCCTGCGCTGGCAGGACTGAAGACTGACAGGTCGCAGGTTCAAATCCGGGGAGAGGCGGATGAGCTCCCTCTATCAGCTCCAGCTCCTCATACAGGGACATGAGAGAAGCCTCCCACAAGGATGATAAAAACATCAAATCACCCGGGCGTCCCATGGGCAATGTCCTTGCAGATGGCCAATTCTCTCACACCAGAAGCGACTTGCAGTTTCTCAAGTCACTCCTGACACGACATAAATAAATAAATAAATCATGTCTCCCCTCAGCCTTCTCTTCCTCAGGCTAACCATGCCCAGCTCCTTAAGCCGCTCCTCATAGGGCGTGTTCTCCAGACCCCTGATCATTTGAGTCACCTTCCTTGGGACACATTCCAGCTTGTCAACATCTCCCTTCGATTGTGGTGCCCAGAATTGGACACAGTATTCCAGGTGTGGTCTAAGATCTCAGTCTGGACATGGAACACTGACAGGTTTCATCTTGTGAGCCAAGATTGGGTGCCTTGCACTGATTATTCAGTTGGAATAAGAAAAGCACAATCCATTTCTTGCTAATTCTGATAGCCTGTCTTCTCATTTTCCATCTCCTGTCTTGTGCATATTCTGTGAGGGCATTGAATAAGTCTAGAAAACAGCAATTTCTGAAAAATTTCCAGCTTTTATTCTCCTTTCCAAAGGCAAAGGAAACTTGATAATATCTGGCCAGAGCTTGGTGAACATTGGCAGCGAATGGACTGTTGTAGAGGGCTAGTTTCCCACCATGATGTTCAGGTTCTCAAAGTGCATAGCATGCTTTTGGCAGCTGCTCCAGAGATTCTGGCAGTTGATGTCTCTCCATATGGAAAGAGGGATTGAGCAAATCTAGCATTGGTTGGCCTTGGGAGTGGCATAGAGTTCCCAAGCTATGAAAGCATTGGTAGCTTATGTCGCATGCAATACAATCCCTCGACCCATGGGAGCCATGCCCACAGTTTCATCAAAAGATTTCCTCTCTAGGATTTTTCTAGCTCTTCCATGCAATTCTGTGGTAAGCTTTTGCTGGAAGTTATTACAAAATCACATTGGGGGATGTAGAAAATATCCAGGGAAGATACCTCTCTTGGGATTTTCTAAATCTTCCAGAGTGATTCTGTGATGACATTTGGCTGAAGTTGTTGATTTCAATAGAGTATTTACTATTTCTACAGTAAATTCAGGAATGCATCTCCTGTGGTTATAGGGACGGTACTGTATATATAGTATATTATTTTAAAAGGGGGTTTTCCTCCCCAATAGCAGCCTTTCCCGTGTAAAATGTTCTTGCATATGCCAAAAAAGGAGCTTGAGCAATGTGAGCCTTACAGGAAACCTCAGACATTGGATACAACAGGAACTTGGAAAGTGAGATTTCTCAGATCTCTCTCATTCTCAGAGTTGCCCCAAATCAAAGGCAAGGGGGGCATTTAGGAAGACATCTAAATGTATTGTTGAAGGCTTTCATGGCCAGAATCACTGAACTGTTAAACGTTTTCCGGGGTATATGGCCATGTTCCAGAAGCATTCTCTTCTGACGTTTCACCCACATCTATGGCAGACATCCTCAGAGGTTATGAGGTCTGTTGGAAAGTGAGGTTTATATATCTGTGGAATGATGACCAGGGTGGGAGAAAGAACTCTTTGTCTGCTTGAGGCAAGTGTGATTGTTGCAATTGGCCATCTTGATTAGCATTGAATGGCCTTGCAGCTTCAAAGGATTCCCCCAGGCAGTAATAGCTGCAAGGCCATTAAATGCTAATCACAGTGGCCAGTTGCTACATTCACACTTGCCTCAAGCAGACAAAAGCTCTTTCTCCCAACCTGGACATTCCACAAATATATAAACTTCATTTCTCTAGTTCCCAACAGTCCTCACAACTTCAGAGGAAGCCTTCCATAGATGTGGATGAAACGTCAGAAGATAATGCTTCTGGAACATGGCCATGCAGCCGGAAGACTCCCAACAACCCAGAAGACATCTTAGTTTCCACCTATCTGTTCATAGTGAACCAGTCAAGTGAAGGGAAGGAAATGTGGTTGTCAATTAGACTGTGATCACAAGGTGGCACTGCAACCAAGTGAATGAAGCAGTTGACCAATTGCTGAGCTATGTATTGTCGAAGGCTTTCATGGCTGGAATCACTAGGTTCTTGTGGGTTTTTTCGGGCTATAGGGCCATGTTCTAGAGGCATTTCTCCTGACGTTTCGCCTGCATCTATGGCAAGCATCCTCAGAGGTAGTGAGGTCTGTTGGAAATAGGACAATGGGTTTATATATCTGTGGAATGGCTGGGGTGGGGCAAAGAGCTCTTCTCTGCTAGAACTAGGTGTGAATGTTTCAACTGACCACCTTCATTAGCATTTGAAGGCCTGCCTGAGCCTGGGAAAATCTTTTGTTGAGATTGCTGAGCTCCTTGATGTCACCTGGCTTCCCCGGTGAAGCAGTTTTCTCTTTCCTGATCTTACTTCCATTGTGTGATCGGAAGAGTTGTGTTGTGGAAGCTTGCAGTCTAGGTGAGCAACAATCACAATTGCAGAGGGCTTTCTTGAATTGGCACATTTTTCCATTCATTGAGAAGCTTTTGGCTGCGAGTGTGTTCCGAAGATGTGTTTCTACTTCTAGAATTACTGACCTTTCAGCAGAAATTTGCCCTTTGGCCCCTTTTGTCACCTTCAAAAAAAAACAAAACAAACCCTAGGATCCTATGGCATTAAGCCGTGGCCAGCATGGTGCTGTTAAACTGTATTCATTCATCAGTGTAGATGCAAACTAACTCTCTCACAAGGAAAATTACGTATGAAACTACAGTTCTCTTTCATCAGAAAGCAGCTCTTAAACATTGGAATAAATAGAGTCAATCCAATATTATCTATTTTTCACGGCATTGCCATCTTTCTAAGGCTTTCATATCACTCTGCAAAATCCTACAACCCCAGAGTCAGCTCAGATTGCTTCTATATACCAGAATTTGTGGCATATGGAATATGGAAACATATAGGGTTTCTGACAACCTGGAACAATCTTGTTATAGTTGTCTGGATTTGCATTTGTTTTGCGTTGTGTGGATCACCAAATTGGGAGGGAGAGCCAATACTCCAGAGGACAGGAGCAGGATTCAAAACGATCTTGACAGACTAGAGAGATGGGCCAAAACTAACAAAGTGAAGTTCAACAGGGACAAATACAAGAGACTCCACTTAGGCAGAAAAAACGAAATGCAAAGATACAGAATGGGGGACAATGCCTGGTTCGAGAGCAGGACGTGTGAAAAAGATCTTGGAGTCCTCGTGGACAACAAGTTAAACATGAGCCAGGAATGTGATGTGGTGGCAAAAAAAAGCCAATGGGATTTTGGCCTGCATCAAGAGGAGCATAGTGTCTAGATCTAGGGAAGTCATGCTACCCCTCTATTCTGCTTTGGTTAGACCACACTTGGAATGTTGTGTCCAATTCTGGGCACCACAATTCAAGAGAGATGTTGACAAGCTGGAATGTGTCCAGAGGAGGGCGACTAAAATGATAAAGGGTCTGGAGAACAAGCCCTATGAGGAGCGGCTTAAGGAGCTGGGCATGTTTAGCCTGAAGAAGAGAAGGCTGAGAGGAGATATGATAGCCATGTATAAATATGTGAGAGGAAGCAACAGGAAGGAGGGAGCAAGCCTGTTTTCTGCTTCCTTGGAGACTAGGACACAATGGAACAATGGCTTCAAACTATAAGAAAGGAGATTCCATCTGAACATGATGAAGAACTTCCTCACTGTGAGAGCCGTTCAGCAGTGGAACTCTCTGCCCCAGAGTGTGGTGGAGGCTCCTTATTTGGAAGCTTTTAAACAGAGGCTGGATGGCCACCTGTCAGGGGTGATTTGAATGCAATATTCCTGCTTCTTGGCAGAATGGGGTTGGACTGGATGGCCCATGAGGTCTCTTCCAACTCTTTGATTCTATGATTCTATGATATGGGCAGGATAGAAATAGTGTAAATAAACAAATAAATCATGGTGCAGCAATGGCATTCAACTCACAAATGTGATCTTTTTTTATCTCTGCAGAAAATCACCAACCGCATTTTGGGAAGAAAAGTGCCTTGGGAATGATGGTGAAACCAATCAGTCAAAAATAAAGAAGAGAAAAGAAAAGAGTAACCTTCTGTTTCAATAAAGCCTATTGCCTCAAGCCAATTGTGAGATTTTCAGCATTTTCTCTGTATCAGCCGAAATGCTTGTGAATAGGCTACGCAATAATTTTCTGTTTGCGCAAGGTATGTTTCATCATTTTTAAAGAACTGATAGATCTCCTTCTTAGCGAATAGAGTTGTTTATATATTTGAAAACTAGTGACGATTTTTTAAAAGAATCCCAATTTTGTAGCAATGCGCTTGTTAATTTCCAAATCAATGTAATTTAAGAAAAAAAATGTAATACTAATTAAATCAGTGGATTTTTGTGTGTATGAGAGTTTAGATTATTTACTTATTTATTTTTTGATACTTAATTTTTTTGTACTTTCTAAATGATTTAATTTTGCCTATATATTTGTGGTTTTTATTACTAAAATAATTAAATGTCTTGAAGACTCTGGCTCTTTGTATTTTTTGTTAATTGTTTTACTTTGGTGTTTAGTATGGGAGGGAGAGGCACATGCTTCCATTTTTTTTCAGCTGTACTACAACTTAGTTAAACAAATCTGGTTTTATTGTGCAAAATTTGGTTGGTTGCATACTGCCAAGTTGCTTCTGGTGTGAGAGAATCAGCCATCTAGAAAGACATTGCCCGGGGACGCCCATAGAATCATAGAATCAAAGAATTGGAAGAGACCTCATGGGCCATCCAGTCTAACTCCCTGCCAAGAAGCAGGAAATTGCATTCAAAGCACCCCCGACAGATGGCCATCCAGCCTCTGTTTAAAAGCTTCCAAAGAAGGAGCCTCCACCACACTCCGGGGCAGAGAGTTCCACTGCTGAACAGCTCTCACATTCAGAAAGTTCTTCCTCATGTTCAGGTGGAATCTCCTTTCCTGTAGTTTGAAGCCATTGTTTCGTGTCCTAGTCTCCAGGGCAGCAGAAAGGAAGCTTGCTCCCTCCTCCCTGTGCCTTCCTCTCACATATTTATACATGGTTATGATATCTCCTCTCAGCCTTCTCTTCTTCAGGCTAAACATGCCCAGCTCCTTAAGCCGCTCCTCATAGGGCTTGTTCTGTTGGCCCCACGCCAACAGAAGAGAAGACGGAGAGGGAGGGAGAGGTCGGGGATTTTCCCATCAGTGAAGAAACAGTTGCCTGCCTTTGGGGGCAAGATCGAGAAAGTTAATAGTTTGTTAAGAAAACCTTGAAGTCAATCATTGAAGGTTTGTAATTTGTTCAGTAATAAAGATTTTGTTGCATCCTTAAAGACTTTGAAGCCCATCTTTCAGGAAAATCCTAAAAAGCCCTCTCTGAGGTAACTCCGGCGTCCCATTGGACTCACAGAATTTATGTCCTGTTTATAGTCTTTTATAGGAGCCCAGCGTGCGACAGCACAAACACAGAAGGGTGTTACTAAGTATCCTCTCCACACATATAACTCAGCCTGAATACTAAGCAATAAGGTGGCAGCATATCCCAATTGAAAAAAACAGTTTCAAAACCTCACAGTTCAGACGTCATTCAAATATAGCTATACACAGTTATATCTTTCCCTGTTTTATCAATCTCCCTCCTGTGATATTCCTTATAAATTGGTGAAGCAGCGTTGGGATTATTTTCATATCTTTCCCTGTTTTTTCTACTCCTCGGCTTTCCTGTGATTCTTTATAGATGGCCTCTGTGGGACTCCGTTTTGCAAACGCCTGAAAATGGAGAGAAGACCCAGAGAAGTTTGCACCTGATGAGGTCCGAATTGTAGTACCTTATGTTTTCCCCTATTTAAATTCATTTTGGATATTCTCGGACTATAGTTACCAATATGTCTCACCTTTGTCTTTGCTGCCTGAAGCCAATGGGAGTTGCAGTACAAAAGCATCAGGAGGACCATGAGTTGCCCATCCCTCCCCTATATTGATCTGTGCTGCAGCTGCTTCCCGCTGCTTTGAAACCACATCAGCTGCCATCCTTCTTTCCTTCCTCTTTTTCCTTGGTTGCCCTCCATCTGCGACTACGGAGTGTCTTTGTATTTCTTCCTCCCTCTCTTATCCTTCTTGATCTCTCCAGAATGTGGTCTGAATCCATTGCTTCATCCTTTCCTCGTGCTGAGAAATGCCAAAATATGACCAAAAGATTGTTGTGCAACACTTTGCAAGAATATACATCCAGAACACAACTAAAATACAGGGTAAATAAAACCAACTTTGTGGGGGAAAGAAGTCCATGGAGATGTGAAGTTTGGACAAAAACTATTCCCAAAATGAGGGATGATGGAGCTGCGATGAAAAGGGAACGAAGCTGTCATGACATTTGGAGTTTGGGGAAAACCAAGCTTCCAATCCCAGATCAACGTTGAATTGTGAAGGGCAAGATCCAAAAGCATTGCTGGTCTCTTCTTGATTTCTTTCACCTCTTAGTCGCATTTGGAGAGAAGCATTTTATTGCGGATTTAGATTTTAATGATGCCAAACATCCTCATATTCTGAATTGTAGAAGTTGTAGTTTTCCAAGGTGTTTAGCCTTCTCTGCCAAAGGATGATGGGGCATCGCCAGACAACAAATCCCATGTTTCCTTAGCATTGAGCCATGGCTGTTAAAGTAGGGTCAAACTCATTCATTCTGCAATACGGATACGCTTTAAGGTGGTACAATATCCCTTTGCAAATTGATATTCCAGACTAACAGTTTGTGGTTGTACTTACTTAGGTGATCCCTCATCCGAGTATGATGGCCTTCCAAGTGTAGTGTCTTGGCGGTGGATGCATACTTGATTGTGGAGCCCTATTCTTTATCCGCATGTTCTTTCACATGTCCCAATCCTCAAACACTCTTTGCTTCATTCAGAAAAATGCTGCACTCGCAGAGCTTCAGGCAATGTTGCATTTCAGTGTCAGTGTTAACTTTCATGGAGAGATGGCTACCAAGATAGTGGAAATGGTCAACATTTTCTAATGTTACACCATTAAGCTGTATTTCTGGCATTGGAGAGGGATTGGCTGGTGACTGCTGGAAGAACACTTTGGTTTTCCTGATGTTTAATGAGAAGCCGAGTTTCTCGTATGCTTCTGTGAAGGTGTTGTAGGTCTTCTGAATGTGCACAGACTACGTTATTGACAGCGGCTGTGGCAGAGGCCCCCGCCTTCAAGCTAATTTGAACCGCCGCGGAGAGTTCCGCAGTTCCTGGGAGCCAAACTTGGGACCTACAGACGAAATGTGCTCCAGCAGCCAGCCCAAAGCTAGTATTACACTCAAACCTCTCTTACTTTCCCTTCCCTTTACTCTGTAACTCATCCCTAATCAAGGTACTTGAGATTTGCAACTTTGAAAACTTTTCGCTTGATACTTTGTATCCCATTCCTTGCCTGAAACCTCCATAAGCATACAATAAACCCTTTTCCAGGCTCCGGAGTGCCGTGAGCCTGCCGGGGATGCCCCTGCGGTGTCCCCGGACCGCCGAATCCACGTCCGTCAAAACCGCGGATACAGAAACCACCCTAACGAACCCCCGTATCCGCTAAAATAACAAAATGGCGGATCGGCTCCGTTTTAATTTTGTATTTTTCTGGAACTAATTCTAAACCTAACTGCTATCTCGCTTTCCTCACTTTGGACCCCTCCACCCGGGAAATAATTGTTTTGTTTTAAGTAATATATTTTGACAGAAAACAGCTGTCTGTCAAACTCCGCCGGCTCAGCGCAAAACAACCCAGTTTTGCCGCCGCTCGCCCCTGCTCAGCCCCGCAAGCCGGGGCTCGCCGTGAATGCCCAATGGAGACCCTGGAGAGGCAGCCGGGCAGGAGCCCCCAGCCCTTGGGAGAGTTGTAGTTCCCAAGGACCGAGTGATGGATTTTGTTGCTCTTTTTGGCCTGGCACCCATCTGCTTTCCTCTGCCTGACAAAGAACTCTTTTGCTGCATGAATTTGGCCATTTGCAGCCCCCGTTTCCACGAACTTTCGGCCGGAGCTTGTGATTTTTAGCTTCTTTCTCTCTTTTCACAATAAAGTTCAAAAATTAAATAAAGATGAAGAGGTGGGGTGGGAGTGGGAGTCTTTCTTGTTGGATCTTTGCCTGAAACTATGCTGTATGAAATATAAATTGTTTCCCGCCTTTCCATTTGATTTTTGCCCCCCAAAAGTGACCAAAAGCTGCTGCAAGGCAAGAAATTCCTGTCTTCCCCGAAACCCAGAATTTGTTGATTGGTTCAACTACACAATACGATGGTCAATAGTCCCTATCTCGCCCTCTGAGCCTTCTGGCGAGATAAGAAAGTTCCTGAGGATTTCGGAAGAGAAATTAATTAAAAATTACAAAAGGCAGCGTTGATCCCTTGAGGTCTGCCGCCAATCTTGTTGTCCTCCCCCCCCCCAAATCTCATCATGTACAGGAAGACCTTTTAATTGCCACCATCACACCTCGCCAACCAAAGACAATACTTAATATTTTAACCGGCCGGCTATCTGTAATCCCATCATTTCCCCATTGTTTTGCGATCGTCCCACCTCCTCGCTCCTGATTCGTCCATTCCCAGGAGCGAGAGAAGTGTGCTGATTGGCCCGCTGGAGGCGGAGAAGAGCGCTGATTGGCCTGCGAGCGGGGCGGGCCGCCAAGCCTCCTCCCAGCTGATCGGGCATCAGCCAATCAGGGCGAAGCCGGCCGGCAAGGGGCGGGCGGGAATTTTGAATCCCTTTCCTTTGAAATCTTGTCTATAAAAATGTTTGTAACTTGCTGAGCCTTATGCTTGTAGCGGAACGATCCCTACATTTGCATCCGATTGCAGCTGCATCGCCAATAAATTGCCTCGGTCGCTGAACTTCCGCTTTGGTGAGATTTATTGATTTTAATTCTTTTTCTGCTGAAATTGGCTCCCGCTGGCTCCCACCAAGGTATGCAGGACCCTTTGACGCGGTCCTCGGGGATCTCCCTCGCTGAGAAGACCCTCACAAAAGAGCTCGATATCATTATCATCAGCATATTGGAGTTCTATAACAGATGTTGTTGTGACCTTGGTTTTGGCTTTCAGCCTGCTGAGGTTAAATATATTTGTGGTTGTAATGGACTATCAACTAACCTTTTTGTATTTACCTAAAACTAAGGCCGCGTAAAGCAGGAAAAAGGAGCATCTGAAAAACCTGTAACTCACAGATTTGTTTGCTTCTATTTGTCTTTCCACAGCTGTATGTTTGCTTTTTATACTTGTATCACCTAAAATGGTTGACTGTGAGTAAGTCACATTCTCTCAGCCTCAGAAGACAGCTAAGGCTTTGCATGACTCCATTCCTTTCAAGGAAACCTCATGATCAATTTGCTTTGAGGGAACTGTATGTCGGAAATGACTCAAAGGCACATGACAACCACCACTGGACGCATGATATGCACACAGAGTACAGCATGAATCTTGCAAATTGGAAACTTAGCTCACAGCGTGATGGTAACATTCATGTCTCCAGCCTTGAGCTCTTT